GGGTAACCTAAGCACATTAACAATCACTCAGGTGGAGCAACCCCTCTGCTCTGCTTTAATAGGCTGCTTTGTAGAGCCTGGTCCCCAGGCAGAGTGACAGGGCCTGGTTTACTTCACTCATAGTTAGCTACTTCTAATTTGTTCCAGTAACTTTCCAGGTACCGCAGTTAGGATGACTGGTCTATAATTCCCCAGGTCCTTTGTATTCCCCTTTTTAAAGATAGGTACAAAGTTTGACCTCCTCTAATCCTCTGGGACTTCACCCATCCTCCATGAGTTCTCAAAGATAATCACTAATGGTTCCAATAGTTGCTTAAATACCCTATCAAAGCACACGTTTAACCTCACGGAAGCTGCATTCAGGAAGAAAGGCATAGTAGTGAGTACAGAGGCTGATGTTGTATGGTATAAAGGCTGATTTACAGAGAGATCCACGAAGACCAAACAGCTCTACTGTATCATGAAAAAGGAATTGACGTTGAGACATTTGGTACGCTTCAGGGCACTGTGAAAATTTAACAGGAAAAATACAGAAGAAACTTGCAATACAAGTTCATAATAAATAAGGGGGTTGCATGGAAAAATCTATTCCCAGGCACCTCCACACAAAAAATAATTGGGCTGGCATGACTGTTTATTAAAAGAACCTAGGAGGGCGATAACAGTTAAATCATCTTCCCTTGCACAGACAAACCTTTGAAGAGACTGGTGGATAATCTTATTTTGATTGCATCAAAAAAGAATCAGAAAGAGTTTGGCACATTATAAAGTTTAACACTTGTCTCAATGCTTCTTTGCCTGGTAATTGGATTTGAGAAGGCTGTGGTTCACAAAAAAGGATGCAATTGACAAGTGCATCCAAAAGATGGTGATCTCATTCTGACTGCCTTCAGTCTACACGTTTCGTATTTTCCTGGCTTTATAGAAGCAAGGTTTGAATTGTCTGTCAATTATGTTTCTATTTTTATGAAGAATGTACTTTTGCATCATTGTTTATTAACGTTGCCTTAAAATGTGAACATGAAATCAATTCATTTTTTTAATAGCTTAGTGCATGAGTCAAAACATTTGATTTAAAAAAATAGCAAGTTCATCTTCTGAGGATTTCAGGTGAAGAATCTTTACTTTTTAACAGTTCCAATCTCCAAAAACGAGCTCTTTGCACTCTAACTAATTAAGAGGTAATGCCCAGATAATAAGAAGAGACTCAAAAGTGAAGATTTATAGAAGAGGTTTTCTGAAAAGAAAGCATTTTTTCTCCCAGTCAGTGAAGAAGTCTCTTAATATAAGCTTGTGGGTTTTTTAATTAAATAAGTAGATAAATTAGATTTTAAAACTGTAGAGATCAGTTTTATAGTTTAACGATGATGGTGATCAAATTTCAGCCCAGTATGTATTTGATATGTTAAACGTGAGTAGATTTAATTCTTTTATCATCAGAGAACAAAGCAGTGCTGTTATAAATTACAAGCACTGGGTTTTAATTAGTACGTCAGATAACTTGAGAAGCAATGGACTTGGAGAGACAGTGCCATTGTTTTATCCGTGCTGGTCACTCAAAGGCATTTGATCATGTCATTTACAAGCACCTACTAAGGCCCTCCATGTAACCCTTTATTTGCACATATTAAAAAGGCCCCATGTCCTCCACTGCCGTTTGGGGGGGGAAATGGGTTGCATTTAGCCCTAGCATAAAACACAGATGCCCATCCCCTGCAGCCTTTGACACTCAGCACACTTCATGGGCTAACCTAGGATCACATGGCCTCTTTTGTGCTGGGGGAACCACAGCAGGCGAGTAAAAACTCCATTACAAATGTCTGCCTGCCTGGGAGATGGATCTGGGGGCTCGTACAGGAAATAATAGGTGCGGCCTGCAAAAAAAAAAAAAAAAAAAAAAAGCATGACTATGAAAGGCCTAATCCTCTGCTCTGTTACCCCCGGCTATTCAAAACACACAGGCTTGGGCAAACCTCTCTAGGCTGGCATCTTCTCCCCACTAAGGAAGATAGAAGGGGATTACTACTAGTCTAACTAGAGGATCTCCACTCAAATATCTCAGCCACGTTTGGGAATGTCCGTGGAGAGTAATTCTGCTATCAAAAGCCACAAATTCAGGGGCTTTTTCTCCTATTTTCCTCACTCCCACATGTAACAAAGGTGAGCATGTTGCCCCCACTTGCTACAAGAACCAGGGAAAGAATTGGGAGAGAGAGGGACTCAAGCTGAGCCTCAAATGGGTGATTGTTAAAGATAACAGTGCACACAGGAGTTTTGGGGTGGCTTTTTGTCTGCAAATTCACGGTGCTCTGGGAGTGCTTACTCTGGGAAGGATGTTATTCGGCTGCTAGCTTTCCCGGGGGACAGGATGAGTCCTCATGGAAGATTTGGGGGGGAATGTTCAGCCATGGGCTATTTTAAGGATAAGAGGTGATGGGAAAGACTCCATAAGAAATAAAAGTGGGATGTCAATATGGAGAAAAAGAAAATCTTGGCACTCTACATCTGTGCCACAATGGGCAGTGAGCTTGTCAGATCTCAAGCTTACCCAGGGGGTGAGGCCGGATCAGTGCTGGAGGGGAGATGTCCAATGAAATCCCAGGCCCTGCAGGACAGTGATGGGGGCAGGTGGGGGTGGGAGAATGCTTGGCAGTGCTAAGCCAACAGCCAAGATGGAGGGAGGAAGCACATAAAGAACGGTGCTGGTGCTCCCGGTCACAGGGGTAAGGCTGAGATCATCACCACGCATGGTTGGTCATAGGACACCTGTGACATGTCTGACAAGAGCAGGAACATTACCCCAAATTTGAATTTGGTCAAGAGTGTTAATCACTTTCTGCCACCTTAAAGCCCCTCTGCACAATTCATTCTTCACTTGTGTTGCTGGCATGTTCCCCCCCCCGCCCAGAAGTAGCTGCATGTTCAAAACAGGGGAGTGATCCATAGCATATCACACTAGCCCAAAACTATCCCAAAGCACTGTGATCTATGGGTAGACAAAGCATCACATGCAGGAGAGGATTCAGACTGGCCTTTAATAACAACATGAACTTCTGTAGCATAGTTAACAGAGGACAGATCTGGTTTATGATTTAAGCCACAGGCCACTCATTAAGTAAGCAGCCTCCCCACGTTACCCGCACAGAAAAGGAGGGAGAGCTATTAAACTACCTTGTCCAAGGTCCTACAGCAACTGTTTTGCACAGCTGGGACTAGAACTCACATTTCTGGCTCCCATTCCCTTAGCCTAGCGGCCAGCCCACACTTCCCTCCAAGGAGTGCCACCTACACTTTAATCTTTAAGTTGTGCACCCACAGCAAGGCCGCTGCTATGAAGGGTGATTTTGTTTGTGGGAAGCCGCTGGGTTGTTTCAGGAAAGCAGGCGAGTCGGTGTTTAAGCAGAAATCCCCTCCACTCCGAGGAGTTACCTTTTTCACCTTTATCAGAGGATTCAGGTTGGGATTCCCACAGGAGCTGGGTCAGTCTTGGATTCCCAAATCCCCTTGAGATTTGCTTGGTTTGGGGCACATAACTCTCCTCTGCACCTGTGAGAAGCCCAGCCTTGCAGAAAGTTCCATGTCCACAGTGGAGGGCCTCACAAACCTCCAGCACACCAGAAAAACACATATGTGAGCTGTACTCTTCTCTCCTCAGCCAACCAGGGTTCCTTGGGGCTTGTAATGGCCAAGCTTCCCCCTTCCCAGGGCTGCCAGCATGATCAGGCCTAGTATGCCTCAGAGGTTAGAGTGACAGCCCATCTGAATCATGCATGCATGCCTTCTAGGAATAGGGTTGGGGTTTTTTTTGCTGGCTGTGGTTATGAAAGTCCTTACTGCCATCCAGGCTGTATGGGGCAAACACTTATTTTCCCGTCCACTCATCTATTGAGGAACCTGGGTGGTCAGACCAGGATAGCCTGCTCTTATATTACTAGACGTCACTTTTAGGAACCAGGTGGCATCAAGACTACCACAGAACCCTGGATACAGACTTGCCCCATGCACGGGGCACCAAGGTTTCTCCAGTAACGTTATGTGAATTCTGTGAGAGCATCCCTACCAGAGGCTACCTGGCACAACTAGGAAAGGGGATGCTGCATGGAGTCTTCCTGGAGGGGGAAGCTAGAGGTCACTTTCAATACATGGACTCTATGGTTTTAGAAAGTGAGGCCCATCTCAAGTAGCATGGGAAGTTAAGAATGATAAATATTTGTCTAGAAAGATTACATGTGAGATGCACAAAAGTGCTCGCCCTTGGCTTAGTGGCTTCCACTAAAGTCAACAGTAAAATGCCCAAGATGGGAACAGAGGAAGACTAACATGGAGCATTTTTGAAAATCCCACCTTAGGAATCTGGGAAATGTGCGATTAATTCTTTATCACAGTGACCCTGATCCCAAGTGAAACAGGCAGGATTTGCAGGTAGTCAGCACCAACTGGCCTTCTGTTTGGATAACTTTGAGGCAAGGCATTGCTACTAGTCCCAGGTTCCTGCATTAACCTCTTCTGAGAAGGGGGTTTGATTTGGTGGATTCTTTCAGGGGCAGACAATTAGAGGAAAACTAATGTGAACAATAGCAGGTCACAGCCCCATTTCAGGTACACAGATGCAGACATAATGAGCTGAATTTGGCCAAACAGCTTTGTAAAAATGTGTTCTTACATAATTGAATGGCTTCAGATTTTGGGAGGCTTTTTAAATGAAAATCCCACATCTGAGTTCCCCAGCTCATCTGGGGTGGGCTAGCACCCCTACTTGGATTAAAGTTAATCTTTAATTAAAAATTATGTCATGTAATGAAACACACATCTGACCAAAATTGGCAATCCTAATCCTAGGAGTTCCTCCAGGCCAGCTATGGCGTTTTGCCCGGAGAACGAGCATGTGTCCAGGATTCCCCATCTCATCCCAGGAGAGAATAAATCCAGGCTGAAATCCCTCCAGATAGTTAAAAGCCCATGACGTGACATTTCAGAGGAATAAAACCACAGAGAAGTCGTCAGAATTAAGGTTTTTTGTTATTATAAAAGAAACTATTCGTAAGTCCAAATGCAACGGCATATATTGGCACCATCCAAAATCCTGGAACATTTGAACCCACTAGGCATTCCCCTGAGAGAACTTAGGGGCAGCCTGGGGACAGCAGGGGAACAGAGCCCCTTCCTTAGAGTAGTCCTGGCTAGGTGGCAGGCAGTTTGTGTGCCAGGACATACCAACAGTTAACACTAATGGTCTCTGTAAACTGTACAACTTTAGAAACCCTAAAACATTATTAAAATCTAAAACTTGTTTCTTTTTATCAAAAGCTCTGCTTTAGTGATATGCTAATCCCACTGGAAAATAAAACACTCATGACCCCATTGCTAACACAATTAAGTTGACCAGCCAACTCATAATTTAGAACATCCTCCTTGTGTTTCAGCCACGCTACGCGCTCACATCAGCTTGAGTTTAATTTACGATAGTTACCGCTAGCTTCCAAGTGCTGAAACGATGTCCTGCCAGGAATGGCAAAGCCACACTTCAAACTCTCCCCCCCTGGACACCCTGCCCCCCATTCTACCCTCTGCTCTAGCCCATGCTGGAGTTTCACCTCCAACAGTACCTTCAGGAACCCTGCCTGCTCTAGCTGGCTGAGTTATTGGAACGTCTTTTTTTTTTAAAAAAAAAATTTATATATATAGCTTTTGTTTTTACATTTAAATATAAAAAAATACTACTCACTCTGTGTTATACACAGGAGATAGAGTGGCTTCCAATGACAGAGCAGGGAGGAATTTTGCTACCAGCTCCCACATTTAGCTGTGACAGTAGAACGCAAGAAGACGCCCAAAAGTCTTATCAAAGCCAGAGAAAGGAAATTTCCCACCACATGTAAGTGTGCAAAGGGGTGAGAATCTATCATAGCTGCTTTACTCCTTTCTCCCCTAATAACCCTAATCCGAGGGCAATTGGTCTATGGAGAGCTTAGTTATGTATGTTATCATGGGAGTTACTCTCTTGGGCAAAACCCATTACAGCCTCTTGTCCATTCACCTTCCTTCAGCCTATCACCCTGTGTCCATGGAAGCCACTGGGTCCTGTCAGACATACAGATGAATTAGACAAAACAGTGGTTAAAATTCTTCTCTAAAGCACACTCCTCCTCTCAAGCATCAACAATAAAGAGACATCGACAAGAACTAAATGCTCCCTCCCCCCCCAACACAACACGAGTTACTGGGACACAAAGAAAGTGGTAACTTGTGCCCTCAGAATTACATCTAGAAGGGACGTTTGGGGGGTAGGCGGTGTCTGTCAGGGGGCAGTTCACTTAGTTCTTGTACTCAAAGGGCTCATCCCCGGTCTCGCTGAGAAGACACGTACGGATTAGTGCCTCTGTCACAGCATAAGGGTCGCAGTTGGCAGAGGGACGGCGGTCCTCGAAGTAGCCTCTCTTTTCTTGGCCCACGTTTCTGGGGATACGTATACTGGCCCCACGGTTGGCCACGCCAGCAGAGAATTCATGGATGCTGGATGTCTCGTGGAAGCCAGTCAGGCGCCTGGCGTTGTCCAGCCCCCCTTTTGGGTCGTAAGCACGGATGTGGTACTGGTGCCGCTTGCCGAGCTTCTCAATGGCCTCTTCTATATGCCTGGAGACAGGTGGGTGGTTGTGAGCCTTTGGCAAGAACACGGGCTGTGCTGCTCTTCACTTGGCCATGGATAACGTTAGCCAAGTGGGAGAGTTCCTGCCTTCTCCCACGACCCACCCAAAACCACACAAACCCCCTGTTTCAGTCCCTTATCTGCAATCATTCCCATTCACGCTAGTACCAGCCATGGGCCCCTTTCTCTCATTGCTAGTGAGCTACAGTGAATTCAGGTTCCTAAAGTATCACTTGGTTACATGGTTCAAATCTTACTTATCTACAGCCAGTTCCCCTGCATGTGGAGTTGGGTTTTCCCCCCTCCTTGCCTATTCTGGCCAGTGAAGCTCTCAGAATTTTTTTTTTTTTTGTGGGGGGGGGGGGGGTGAGAGGAGATCCCAAAGGCAGGCAAGACTCACTGACTGAAGTCAAAGAACATTACAGCTTGTGGGGGTGCCAGTTAGAACCAATAATTTGGCTGAGTTGCATTTCCATTAAATATGCCTGGTACAGCTTCCTTTATTCTTGGGAAGAGAGGTTGTGCTTTGACACGTTTTATTATTTCAGGAACTTATGAGTTCTGCAGGTGTTGTGATAATCTGAATGCACCAACTGAAGTTACAGGAGAGGAGTGGGCAGAGAAATGCCCAAATTGATCCTTAACAGAATTCCATTGTACTTGAAGAGTACAATCTGGTCCCTGAAAGTCCCAGACTCTCAAGTACAGTGGAATCTGTAAGCCAGTGGTCTAAGAATAGTCCAATCAGAATCTACTTTCAATATTCGGCCTTGTTTACAGTGAGGCAGAAATTCTCCCTCCTTTGGACTAGCACCAGAAATGCTTACTATAGACGGAATACAGGCCTTTTTACAGAGGTGAGTAATCCAGTGCTAGACAGTGGTAAGAATGGCTGCCCCTTGTTTATTAGCACTTCCACCATTGCTAGTGTTGGTGGATCTGTACCAGTGTTAGACCACTACTGGGAATTTCCTCAAATCTTCAGTGCAGACAACCTCTGAGTGCAACAGCTACAGTGGGAAGGGAGTTCAGTACCTGTAAAAATCTATAATCTCTGGGGTATTCAAGCCAAAAATCTCTTGCATGGAGCAAGAGATGTTGCTATTCCTCTGGAAGCCAACTAGTGCCTCAAGTGCAGTCTCAGCTCTGTAGAAATCTTGCTGCTGTTGGTAAAGCCCACTTTCCCTCGATGAGCTTGCCAGACAGAGCATAGAATCCTAGAATATCAGGGCTGGAAGGGACCTCAGGAGGTCATCTAGTCCAACCCTCTTGCTCAACGCAGGACCGATCCCCAATTTTTGCCCCCGATCCCTAAATGGCCCCCTCAAGGATTGAACTCACAACCCTGGGTTTAACAGGTCAATGCTCAAACCACTGAGCTATCCCTCCCCCCTAAATGCAACTAGCCCAGCTGCAGAGAAACTTACTTGAGGCCTCCTTCCTCCCTCATGGATTTGGTGCTGAAGTTGGTGTGGCAACCGGCTCCATTCCAATTCCCAGAGATGGGTTTGGGATCGAAGGACACGATTACCCCAAAGTCTTCACACACCCGATGTAGGATGAAGCGTGCAATCCAGAGGTGATCCCCCATCTCAATCCCTTCGCATGGGCCCACCTGGAATTCCCACTAGAGAGCAGAGAAAAAAACCACAGAAATCATTGGCTCAGTTTGGTGAGGAACCATTTGCTGCAAGGTGCCATTCACCCCCTCTGCACCCTCCTGCACACTCAACGTTTGCAAAGCCCCAGGGTACATACTGACTGTAGCAGCAGGATTTAGCATCATGAGCTTCTGCATTGCATTGTTGGCCGGGGCCAGCTGACTGCAATGGCTGGTAAAACCAAAAGAGTTACCTGTGCGGGCATCACTTCTGCATTTGTTCCTCCAATTTTAACACCAGCATAGAGACATGCACGATAATGCGCTTCCACAATGTCTCTGCCATAGGCTTTGTCTGCTCCTACGCCGCAGTAATATGGACCTGCAGTGCCAGAGAGCACAAGAAAGGTGAACATAGTCTTCAGTGAACTCAATCACAAGCTATTTGAAGAGCACAGAGTATAGTTAGGAAAGGATTGTCAGAAGGCACAGGTCACAAGTAAGTCTCTATACCGCTTTCGTTTGGGGTAGCGGAAGAACAAAATGCCTTCAGAGTGTGACTCCATTCAGAGTCGGTGGGTTTTGGGCTCCTGCTTCTGAAAACCCTGCCCAACTGGTCATATTTAAATGAATTGCAGACTAATGGAACTAACACTGGATATGAATCTGGTCTATATGTCATAAGATTACCATACAGTCTCTAAAAAGATTACTTTTGTTGCTTAGTTTTGGTCATTGTCAGCATAGCTTTTGGTGATCCAGTTTTAGCAACTCCTTGAATCTTTCGTCTCACTTTAAACATTTCCACTTAATCCCATTCATTAATGATCTATAACATTATGATTTGGGGTTAAATATTCATGAGAGCTCTCATTACTAGTTCAGACATTAGCTCTTGAAAGCTTACCCTGGGGCCCAGGGAAGCCATTGGAAGGCCAGCCAAATGGATGTCCATCTGTCCCAAGAAGAGTGTATTCCTGCTCCATTCCAAACCAGGGGATCTGGTTAGACACCATATCCATAATCCGTTTACAGGTGTGCCTTAGGTTTGTCTCTAGAATGAGAGAGAAGCACAAAGCTTATTAGCTCAGCAACGTTCTCGCCACTGGGCATCCCACTGGTTTAAAAAAAAAAAAGTCTGGTGAGCTGCTCTGGTGGAACAGCCCAGATCCTTATCCCACTATGGGAGCTATGACTTGCCAATGTATTCCGGACAAAGCCACTACCATACAGGCTGTCTGGGGGAAATCATTTCCCCACCCATACCTCTAGGGAAGCCCAGAAATTCAGACCCAAAGAGACTGCTCTGTCCCCACCATCATTAGCCAATGTAAAATCTAAGTGGTAGGTAGGACCGCTGGCCTTAAATATTGGGTGGTGGTGCCATCTTATGGACTTCCTTGTACTGTTCCAAAATGTTCTTAGTCTCCTGAACCATATGCTGGCAATCATATGCCCAGAAGCTCCTCATCCATGACCAGGCCTGCATCTCACACATCAGAGGTTTTTGTTCCCTCAGGTACACATTATCCCCTCCAATCAGTGATACCACTCAATTCACTTCTTTCCCCACTCCCTTCCATGCTGCCCCATGAAATGATTTCCCAGTCCCCAGATTTCTCCCAGCATTGGAGTTCCTCTTGAAGAGTCCTTCAGTATTTCCAAGCACTGACCCATGTCATACTCCCATCTACGTGTTGCCAGTGACAAGAGGGGCTAGACCAGAACAGATAAACATCTAAGTTTCTCCCTTGGTATTGCCTACTGCATCTTGTTTTCTTTATATCTAAGCTCTTCATGGCAGGATTATTTGTAGGTCTTGTACAGCATTAATGCTGTAATGGTGCTTGGTAAAGTCTTCCATTAACTACTTTTTTACAGTTAGCCCTCCACCCTCCTCTACTCCAAGAGGCAGCAGACCTTCTCACCCCTCCCAGTACTATTGCAGCCACTCTTGGGGAGGCACTGCACCATACCTGCTGACTTGCGGTTGTATTTTAAGACCTCACAAAGAACCAGCTTGTTGGGGTCCTTGCGGAAAGGGTCCCGGAACATGGCAGCAGGGAGAAGGTACATGTCACTGTTTGAACCCTCAGACTGGAAGGTGCTCGAGCCATCAAAGTTCCACTCAGGCAGATCTAGAGCAGGAGAAAAAAAAAAATTCACCCCTTTATGTTAGCAGCTTTCCAAAACCGAGAGGAGTTCACCAGCAGATTCAGCACAACCATTGTGTAAAAAAAGATTGCTCGTTAAAGGACACTGGCGCACACACACTGTACTTTTTGCTGATTTTGCTCCCACTGAAAGATGGGAGAGGAAATTGCTCTTTGACACCCTGTGGAAAAACAAAAAGCTGGGACATCAGCAAAGTCCAATTCAGCTAACTGCACTGCAGACGTCCTTGACGAACACTTCCTATCTTGTACCCAACACGCTATGGTAAGATGAAGACCCAGATGGGTTTCCCTAGCCAAAACAAAGGAAGTCAGGGAGATGCTATAAGACAAAAGCAATGAGAAAGAGGGAATCCGGTGTCCTCAGTTGTCTCCAGAGTCCTGGATGGCCCTGAAACATGCTCCTCCACATTGATGCAACTGCACAGAGCTGGTGAAGGGAACCTTGGGAGAATGCACAAGGCCTAGAGCTGCCTGAAGGGGGAACATCTTCAGTTTTTGTGGGGAGTGAACATCCCTTTCACACTACCTATGCCCCTCCAGTTGAGCATGGCTTAGGCCCCACTATTGAATACTGCTTTTGCAGGGTGACCACATTTAATTCCTTCACAGCTGCTTCAACTCTGCCCCCATTGTTATCCCCTTCCATGTGCTGTGGGTGCCAAACAAGCTGTGCCAGCCACTTCCTCGGTGGGCGGGGAGATAATTCCGATTGCTCATGCACAGTGCTTTGGTTTTATAACTGTCCTGGCCAGTGCCATGGCAACAAGTGAAGAAATCCAAATGCTATTATGTCAGTCGGGGCTGTTTGTTCTGAGACACACAAGCTCTTAATTACACTGGATAGATTATCTCCCCAGGGCCAGAAGAAGAGATTTACAGGTAAAGAGCCAGCAGGCTGGTAATACCCTGCAGACAGACACCCCTTTTTAGCAGATGGGGACACGTCACCGATTCCCAGCTCTACTTACACTCTGCCCCACAAGGAAAGGAGTGGTCTCCCAGATCTCCTTCCGCATCAGGAGATTATGAAGTGCATCTTGCTCAGCCTGTCCCCTTTCCCAAACACACGCTGGAGTGAGATGGGAGCTATGCACTCAATACAAAGAACTCGAGGGGTGGAATGCACTGACTGTCTCTGGTCCAGATTTCCCCCACGTGGGAGAGGCACCCTAACTCAAAAAGGAGCTTTGCCTTCCAACTGCACAGCAGTGTTTTGCAGCTCTGTGGTCAGATGCTCGACCCCAAGCCAAGCCCTATATTGCTGCAAACCCACTGGGTGCAACTGCTTGTAGTCCCAGCATTCGCTTTGCGTCAGTCACACACCTGCCCTCTTACCTTCAATGCTCTTGGGCTCTTGGTCCAGTGTCCGGGTTTTACAGCGCAGGTGCTCCCCAGTCCCATCAATCCAGATGTACATAGCTTGCACCTTTTCACCCTGAGGCAGCTTCATGTACATCTGCTTTATAGCTTTGCTCAGGTGGGAACTTGCGGAGGTGGCCATGGCTGCGGGGTGCGTTACTGGGGTCCTGCCAGAAGGGGAGGGAAAAACCAACCATGAATATTTCTGTGCTCCAAGTGGGTTCTCACACCCATGTACAAGAAAAGGACCACCTGGGAGATCTTCACAGCTCAGCAACAGGAGAGAGATGTGTGTACTGAGTGTCCCCTAGACACTTATGCTAGAATATCCCAGACAATGTCATAGCTGATTACACCAGTTGTGAATCTAAATACAGTAGATTACACTACAGGAAACAGACAGTGGATCAATACAGCAGTTCAACAACATGGTTTGGGACCAGCTACAATAATCATTTGGCTTCAAAGATTTCCTGTGATCTCAGGATATCCGAGAACTCATCTACTGAGGGGTTGGGTCCTGCCCTGGCAGCTGATGGACTTGTTCTTTTCCCTCTCTAGCTCTATGAGCATTAAAAGATCAACAGCCCCTCAGAAGGGCTCCTTGACTCCACCGTGAACTCTGCACTCACAAAATGCAATTTCAGAACATACATTTTCCATCACTGCACAGAGGTTTTGCCCACTTTAGCTTAGACAGGGCCTTCTGCGGTCCTTCCCATTCCAGTAAGGACCATTTGCCAGACAGCCCATTTCCAGACCATGTGATCTGAAGATATACAATACTGTTATCTAAGGAAGATGAGGGGCCCCTAACTACAGCCCAAGGCAAAGTAAGTAACCTTTGAACAGCAGAGACTCAAGAGGCCCCTCAGCCATGGAGCATTTGGAGGCAGGGAGAGCTGTAGCAGATTCAGAGGATGCAAGCTGAGGTCACTGGGGATCTTTTACAGCCCCCTGGCTCTGCATATTCGGGGAAAAAGCCCCTAACTCTGAGAAGTAGCTGCTTTGGCGGAAGACACTGTACTCCCTTGTCCCATATGAGGAATGCAGATTTGCCTCTGTCACACCAGCAGCTGTGCTGGGGGTCATGGAGCCCTGCTGGCCCTCGCCAATGCTATTCCAGCCTTCCCAGCAGGCCACCAAGTCGAGCCCTCTCTGGTACTCTCAGAAGCAGCCACCCCTCTGACCGGCACAGACAAGATTTTGTTCAGCCCCTTCCCTGCCTTTATTTATTTCTTGGCAATAAAAGCAGCACTGCTTTGACTCCAGCCTGGAAACAGCTAGGGTCTCGGAACCAGCCTGCCTCTCCCCTACAACTGGCCAGAAGGCAGACCACCCCCCAAGATACAAACCTCTCTGGATTCTCCTTCCCCCTCCACACCCCCCTCGCTGTCACTTCATTTACTGGCAATTTGATTGCATGCCTCTACCGTGGCAGACCAGGTTTGGCCCTGTAAAAGCTTCCAACTGAAGGACCCACTGCTGCCCCCCACGGCTTCTCTTTATGGTCAGCAAGAAATTTGGTCTATGGCTTTTTCCTCTCTTCACGCAAATCCCTCCTCTCCAGTTCTCCTTCTTTCGGAGCCTGCACTCCCAGTTTTTTAAGGAAACTGCTAAGGAGCCTTGTGCAGAGCAACTGCGAGGAGATCTTCTGCCCCAGGAAGCTCAGAGCAAAGAGAGCCCCTTAGAAGATCTAGAACGACCTAGTTTCCTTCTCCCCTTTACAGAGCTAAATCGGAGCTGCCCCCTGGAGTGGCTGCTTCTGGGGCATAAAGCAGCTAAACACAGCAGCCTGGAAAGGGGAGCTATGCCGGTGTACCTGCCCCAGACACCATCAGGAATACAGGTACCACACACCCAGCCGTCCCTTTGTCGTCAGGGCAGGAATCTCCCTGCTCGAGGAATCGGAGACTGACTGGAAGCAAGACAATGAAATAGGGACAGACACTGAGAGGCATTTCAGAAAATGAAACACAAGATCCATCCTTTTAATACAGCACTGCAGACCCGAGCCCCGCGGGGGACCCAGCCCTGCGGCATATCTCTGCCGCTGTACGAGCGGCCTGCCAGACGCAGGGTGCACGGGTTTAAGAGGAGCGGGGCCATCCTCTAAGGGAAAGCAGCAAAACCCCACATTAAGCAAAGCGTCCTCCTAGCCCACCCCACTGCCTGCGAACAGCGCCAAAGCAGCCCGGAGCACCCCCCAGGCGCGGGGCGACAGCGCATTCCCAGTCCACCTCCCCCGCAAACCCAACCTGACCCAGTCCATGGGAGAGCGCGGGCCGACATCCACCCCCCGCCCGTGCTACCTTGCCTACCGAGCAGGGGGCGGCGATGCGGAGGAGAGGCCGGCCGGCTGGGTGGGTGGACGGGCGACAGCTCACTTCCCCCAAGGCGCTCCCATGCTCGGCTCTGGCGGCGCCGGCTCCCTGCCGGCCCATTTATCGGCTGCCCGTGCCGGCCCCCGGGCTGTCCGATTGGCTTCCTCCAGACATGAGCACGACACGATCAGCTGATGGGCGGCCCCTGGATCCCAGCCATTGGGCCGGCGAAGACAGGGCGAAGGGGGCGGGAGGGAGAGAGGCGGGCCGGGCCGGCAGAGAGGAAAACAAGAGCGAGCTCCTGCGGGGCTGGGGACTCCGCCTTCTCCAGCGGGGAGAGGAAAACAAGCTCAGGGCGGCAGCGGGCGGAGAATGAGCCGCCTGCTCCTGCAGCCGCACACTGGCTCCTTTGTGCAAGCCTTGGCCCCTCTGCCGGAGCCTGCTCCCCCGGCAGCGCCTGCTGGAGCCCCGCGGGGCGATCCCGGGAGCGGTGTGGGCCGGGCCTTCCTGTGCCCGCTTTTAAAACGAAGGAAGCACCCCAGAGTCAGCGGCCCTGGGCCTCTGCTGGCGCTGCCGCCCAAGGAAGGTGCGGCTCGGGATTTGCATTGTAATTGTGGTAACAATAAAACTCTGTTTAGGGTGAAGTTCCCCCCCGCTTCTCCCACTGGATTCTCAGCATTGCAAATCTCCGGTTGTCTGTTTACACACCCTGTGCAGCTCTTTTCTGGCAAGCGAGAACTCTCCCCAGTCACTTGGTGCCCCTGGGGAGGGAAAGGCCAAGCCGGGTTTAGAAAGCAGAGGGAGGGGGTTATTTTTTCCCTCTGACGGTTCTTGGAAAGTGGGGACAGGATCAACTCTCCCTTCTTTCCAAAGCGTTTATGTTAACAGCTGCCCTTTCTTTATATAACTGCATGCACAAAAACAAGCCCTGCTCGCTAAGCAGGGCAGAGAGGGGAAAGCTGCTGAACTAGGGCACCCATAGTTGGCAGGGGTAGGGGGTGCCAGCTGAGTACCCAGCTTTCCCCCCTGGCTATACAAAAACAACGGAGCTTTGAGCACATTTAATTAAATTTCATATCCTGGCTAGGCAGGGAGGAGGGGAAATGGAGTCAGCAGCGACCAGGAATTCAGGGAGGCTGACATCCTAGGACTCGGGATGGCAGGGAAGCACACAGTGGTCGGTATGGCCTGCTAGAAGGGCTGGCCAGTATTTTTCCATCCTGCGAATGGTCTCTTCTCCCACTTCTGCTCTGCCCTCCTCACTTTCCAGCACATTCATAAGAATCAGGATTCAGAGGCCACTGCAGTGCACCATTTGCATTCAATTTGCCTATCCTCCCCCATCACAAGAGGCACTGGGGCTGCTCCCTGGATTGCTTTAGAATAATCTCAGAATGTGGGGGGAGAGGAGAATGAATTTCTCAGCCCTTAGAAATCCAAACCCTGGAAGTACAAAGGCTCAGAGACCTGAACTTCACCAAGATTCTCGCCTCCAGCCGTCCCCGGAAATGAGCTTTTCAGCACAAACACTGCTCTCACTTCTCTCAGCTCCTACCTATTTCAAAGAGGAAATCTGATTGCCACTGCTCCCTGCTCTCTGGGCATCCAGGGGGCACTCTCAGCAAGGTGGTGACAGGTAAGATGGCACTGCACATCCCTAGTGCTTGTTGCAGTCAGAGGGGACCAGATCCTTGGTGGGTACGAAGTGAGATAGTATCACTGAAGTTTATGGAGCTGCATCAATTCACAGGTAGTGTGTCCCCCTTAACAGCCCAAATTCCTCCTTGGAAAAGGGGCGGCAGCATTTACACAGGGAGCCAATTATTTTGCACATCAGCTCACACGGAGGGCAATACAAGCATGTTACTTCCCCAGGGTTAGTCCCAAGGCTGATGTCTATATACCCTCCCCATCAGCTGAGTAAGAAATAGGTACACATCATGTTTCTTTAGCATTTTGGAGGAAGAGTAAAGGGACATGCCCCCAGACCTGACCTCCTCTCCTGTCCCCCAACATGCAATTTCCTGCAGCCTAGAAAGCCCAGGTTTAAATGTAGATACAAAAGCAAAGGGATGCATTAAATCCAGCATACCTGTAACCAACTGGCTTGATAACAGGATTTGAACCCAGACCTTTCAGCACTAGCCTGTACTGCTTAGCTATAGCACAACAATAGCCCACTGCAGCCAATCAAAGCTCTTACGCAGTGCAGTCATTATAGAAGAAAGATCCGACCCCCCTTCTATTATGGGTTAAGCAGGTACTAATTAATACCTGCTACCAGACATATGAGAGAGGTAGTGAGGCTATGACTTGCATTGCCTCAATTCTCCTTTGGTTTTTGTTTCCTCCTCCTTTCTGACGGGTCCATTTCACTCCTCATCCTGCGCATGCATTGTTGCTCTTCACATCCACTACTCAGAAGTTGATGCTGAGTGACCTCTTTTATTCCTGACCCAAACCGTGGACAGATAAACTGGCACGTTATACTGAACTAGAGGCCAGGTCAGATTTGGTCATTTGAGAAAACAGACTAAGTATCAGTTGTTGTGTAGAGACCAGGTCAGTCCACGCCTGAGCCAGCATTCCTGCTGCATAACTGGACTCTGGAGACTGCAGCAGAAAGATCAACCCAGCAAATTTTGTAATTAAAGGTACATTGGACCTGGGTTATATTCAAGTCTGTTTTTCTCAGCTCTGCAGTGAAGGTGCATCAGAAAAATACTAGCTTGGATGGCTAAAGCTTCTCTGAAATAGACAAGTAGTAAGTTGCAAATGAGCTCAGTTTATTGATGCAATTAACCCTCCCCCCCACACACACACACACTTCAATCTATTTTAAATCTCATTGTTTTCTAGATTTTAGTTCAAGAGTCCTGGTGTTTGATTAGAGTGATCGGAAGATTCCAGGGTATTAAAAACCTCTTCATGCATTACCTGGCATTTGTCAGTTGATTTCTTCCCCCTGGGGAAATTCCAAAAGAGATTTTCCCCCATTTCTGTTTCCAAGACTCTCTCTGTTATTCAACGCCTGTTGTTTCACATTGGAACAGAGACATTTTCAGTGCAAATAGCCCTGTGCTATGCTGTATTCTGCACATTCTGTTCTGTTCAGTATTCATTACACCTCCCAGGCACTCTTCTCTTATTCAGGAATTGTTTACAAGGAATAGAGAGAAAGGCCTAGCCTGGCAGGTGTAAGGACAGTGCCTCCAGTGAGACCTCAGGGGGAATTATACGTTTCCTTAGCCAGCTCCATTTCACTTGTTTACATGCTTGCGTTCCCCTCCTCAGTTACAGTTTATTTTTGTGGGTGCACAGATCACTCATTCCTCATTCCCTCTTGTGTGCTCCACTGACCCTCATTTTAGTCAGAGTTTAATTTTAGAGAAAAAGCCTGTCCAAGAACTGAGAAGATGAGGACAACCGCCATGCCCCACTTAGAAGGGGTATATATCAGCATAGCTCCCCATGTTATGTTTATGTAATGCCTTTGAAAGACAATGTAGCATTTAGGGGGTGGGAAAAACATGCACATTTTTATTCTTTCTTCCTACCCATTTGTAATCTTTGGGGGAATGTTTGTCTTTATCTCCTGCCTCTATCCCCTCACTTACCCAAGCTATTACTTTGGGCATCTTAAAATATTTTCAGAACAGAGGCTTTGCCATGGCAGGGATGAGACTGGAAAGGACTGGTAATGGCTGGTACATGGAGCCTTTCATCTCTAGGACAGCAATTCCAGTACTGACAATCCCAAGCATTCAAAAAATGACAAGTCAGGCCCCATCATGAGATTGGCCTAAAAATCACAAGAGTTTAAAGATAATAAGTGTTGGGTTCTTTGTGTATGTCTTCCCGTATTAGAAACTTCACTGTTCATGTTTCCAGGCTTTTCTCTGCAGCCAAGTTAGAAACTTACTGTTTTTGCAACGAAAACTGAGTTTCGTAGGTAATAACGTGACTCCAGAAGTTGGGGGCTTTACGAAAAAAACCTCAAAATCACAAGCTCCACAATGAAATCACGAGAGTTGGCAACACAGCAATGAATTCAAATCTAGCCCAGAGTGGCAAGTGTACAAAGGTAGTCCTGATGCTAAAGCTGAATCCATCAGCACCTGGGCCAAACCCCATTGACTATAGCAGGACCCTGGGCAGGATTAAGTGTCTGCATGTAGTACTGGGGCCTTTGTTACCATCTAATGCTGGTTTGGTGCCCTATGAAATGGTGTACTCCCCCCAGTTCTTTTAATACACAAATGGCCATATCTCAGAAGTCATCCCCTCCTTCAGCAACACTCAGCAGCCTGCTTGGCAGTTCTAGCTGAGAAGTCAAGGATCAAAACAGCATGAAAAGAACATTCTTTTCTTTACTAGTGGCCATAGTTAAGGCTCATTGGCAGGGCAGCTTGCACAGCTACTGCTCATGCTGTAACTATTCACTGGTTAAACAGAGAACTTCAGGCTCCAGGACTATTTAGACTGTAAACTCTGTATGGCAGGGCAGGGGTTTGTCCATTTATTGTTTGTACAGCACCTAGCACAATGGGGCCCCAATCCTGGCTGGAGCCTCTAGGCACTAATACAATACAAAGAAATAAGGACAATCTCTGGTATCTTTCACCAGCTCTAAGGTCACTTTTAATAAAAAGATATATTTTTAAATGGAGATACTGCATTAGAGGGGAAAAAATGGCCCACCTAGCTCAGTGTCATGTCTCAGCCTGTGACCAATCCCAGATGCTTCAGAAGAAGGCAGAACACATCCATAATGCACCTACCTGTTCAATACCATAGTGGAGGGAGGTGAGAACTTTCTTCCTGACCCAGCTGATTACATTAGGTTACATCCTGAAGCATGAAGATTGATAGTTCTTATAATTTGCAATCCTCACCAATGTAACTGCAGATGCAATTCTTAATACACAAAAAACTTAGCCAGGAAGCATTTGGGGCTGCTGTAGATATAACACAAACCCACATAAGCATACCCTCTACCTACAGGCACCTCTACCTGCAGCACCCATTTGTCTCTTGACCAGCCTTTAGATTATTCAGCTAGTCACGCTGTAAATCCCATACCACCAGGGACATGGCTGCCCTGTGCATTTGATTAAGTAATCCAGGGAGGTGGAAGGTCACTGGTTGCTCTCA